TTGTTTTGTTTTTACACAATAATGGAAAGCTAAAGAAGTATCTTATTCTTTGGTTTCTGCAGATGTCAATTTTGAGTAATATTTCTTCCAACATTTCCTCACTTTGCCTTGCTCCACATGGACCAACCTAGTCATTGTGCAAATAATTGCAGGAACAGAAAAATCTGACTTAAAGATGATTCTATTCATCAATTCTAACAATATTTGCAATCAAGTAATCAATTCAGGTGACTTGGGATGCAGTTCTTTGACTTTATCTCCTCTATAAATTTCTGAACACAAAAATAATTGGGAAGAAGTCTTGAACTTAAGTAAATTCTACATAGCACTAATTATTTTTTATGTGGCTTCAGCTTTTAGTGTGATATACAGACATTCTGTCAAAGCCCATCTCCAGGAGCTTTTCACCTATGTTCTATTGTATTTTCTGGTCTTAGATTTAGGTCTGTTATCCATTAGTTGATTTTGGTCTATGGTGTAAAATAAGGGGCCCATTTCATTCTTTTGCATGTGGAAACCTGATTTACCCAGTGCCACTGTTGAAAAGACCATCTTTTCCCCCATTGTGCCCTTTTGGTGCTCTGTCGAACATTATTCTACTATTTGTAGTGCTAGAGACTCAACCCAGGGCCTTCACACTCAACTGTATCTCTAGCCCTTCCCCTGCCCCATTTTGAGACAGATCTTACAAAGTAGCTAAGTTGCCCAGGCTGGGCTCGAACTTGTGATGTCCTGTCTCAGCCTCTCCAGGGTGCTGAGATAAAAGGTGTGTGCCACCAGATTCAACTGTCAAAAATTATTTGACCACGTAATTTGAATTCATTTCTGAATTTATTCTCTACTCTTTTCCACAGCTTTATATATTTGTTTTATCACAGTGTCATACTGATTATTATACTTGGTAATATGATTTTAAATCAAGAGGTATAATGCCTCCAACTTAAGTTGTGAGGAGTGTTCTACTTATGCAGGTCTTTCATGGTTCCATATAAATTTTAAGGTTGCTTTTTGTATTTCTATAATACAATTGGGATTTTGATAAAATTGTGTTGAAACCCTACATTGTTTTTGGTAGTATGGACATTTTAACATTAATTTTTCTGATCCATGAAACAGGATACCTTCCCATGTCTTCTTCAATTTCTGTCATCCATGGTGGATCATTTTTGCTGTACAGTTCTTTCAACTCCTTGATTAAATTCCTAGGATTACTTTCTTGTGATTTCTTTTTTTTTCTCTCTACTCCCTGGTAGTGGGGATGGCTTTGCACTGTGCCACCATCTCCAGTCCTTTTAAAAATTTTATTACAGGGTCTTGCTAAATTGCTCAAGCTCACTTGAAAGTTGTAATCTTTCTGCCTCACTCTCCCAAATAGCTGGGATTACAAATACGTACCACTGTGCCTAGCTTCTTTTGATTTTTTTGTTACATTGTTATTGATGTATAAAATGTTCCTAGTTTCTATGCTTATTTTGTATCCTGAAACTTTACTGAATTTCTTAGTCAGAACCATGTTTTGGTGGAATCTTTGATGGTTTTTACATACTCAAAGGTGTGATTAAAATATGGTTGTTTACCTTTAAAAATTATTATAGTAAAAAACAATCCTGTTAATCCCCCTCAAAATACTTCCTTTTTTGCCACTTTCTAAAGTAGTTCTACATGCCTTCTTTTGTAAGTGTATTTAATTGCATTGTTCTGGCTGCCTCAATGTGCTGGACTGGCTGAAAACATTTAGCTTTCACAGTGATTTTGACTTTAGGGCAGAACCAGAAGTTGCACGGTGCCAGATTCAGTAAATAAGATGGATGAGGACACACTGTAATATTTTTACAAGTCTGCTTTTCCAATAGATGATACGTAGCAGCTCCGTATTTTTTAGCACACCTTCTAAAGATATTCATGGGGGGATTTCCAGAACTGCTTCAGAAAGAGCCAAGAACAGTGATGTGTTTGGAGGGAGAGTATGTTGAGGGGAATTATTATGAATGTGTCTTCACTGAAACTTTTAAAAATTTAAACCTTGACTGCGTATTTTGATCACACCTCATAAGGTAATGTTATCTGCAAGCAGATTTTACATTCTCATTTGGAAGGATTTTCTTGTCTAATTGCTCTTGCTAGTATTTACAGTGCTGTAGAACAAAAGTGGTAAGAATGGATATTCTTGCCTTATAATGAATCTTAGTGGAAAAGCTTTTTCCCCATTATTTTAGTGTTGGGGTTTTAAAAAATAGCCTTTATTTTGAGGAACTTTCCTTCTATGTCTAAATGTTTACTAAGAAAAGATGTTAGACTTTGTTGAATGCTACTTCTGTATCAAGTGAAATGATCATGTAGTTTTAAATCTTATCCTAATGTGAAGTATCAGTTATTCATATAGCAGCTTTGTATGGAAAGACTATATCCCACTTGGTCATGATGTATAGTTGTATAGTCTTTTAGATATGTAGCTAGATTCAGCATGCTAATATTTGAGGATTCCCACATCAATGATCACTAAAGAAAGTAAACTTTTCCTGTGATATCTTTGTGGGGGTCAGGTGTCATGGAGATGCTGACCTTACAATGTATTTGGAAGTATTCCCTCTAGCTTTATTTCTTTCAAGAGTTTAAAAAATACTGGTATTAAATTTCTGAAAAATCTGAAGAATTCAACTGTGAAGTGAAATATTCTAAATTTCTGTTAGAAGGCTTTTAATTACTTCTTCAGTCTCTCTATCTGATATTGGCCTACTGAGTCTTTTAATTTTTTTCTTTTTAAAGTGTTTTTATAAGTACATAACGAATACCTTCATTGTAGGTAGTTGGTACACATATGACACATCTTAATTCATTTTGTGTTCCCTTACCTCCATCTCTTAGTGTTCTTCCCATTTGCAAAAGATCTTCCTATTACATAGTATGTCCCTTTTATTTTACATACCTATGTACTGTGTATTCCTTAACAACTTATTGCAGCTTTAGTTGTTACTTTTTTTCTTCCCCCAGTACCAGTGACTGAACCAAGGCTTCACATATGATATGCAAATACTCCACCAACTACAGAGCTAAATTCCTAACCCATTTTATTTCTGAGTCAGGGTCTCACTAAGTTGCTCAGGCTGGCCTTGAACAGAGCCTTCTGTCTCAGCCTATGAGTAGCTGAGATTATAGATGTGTATGTACTTGGAGCTGTAATTATTTTTGACCATTCTTTTAACCTTCATATTAGAGTTATATATGACTTACACACCGTCATAAAAGAGTTGGAGTATTCTGGATTAGATGATGTATTTACCTCTATCAGTGAGCCTTAATACTATCATATTTGTTATACTATTGTCCTTGTTTCTACTTGAAATACTCTGTTAAGCATTCCCTGTAAGGCCAGTGTAGTGGTAATGAATTTCTTTAACTTTTGCTTGACTGAAAAAGACCTGATTTTTTATTTCTGAAAAACTTTGATGAGTTTTCTTCATTGGTAGATTTTTTCAGCACATTGATTACACTGTCACATTCTGTCCTATCCTGTAAGGTTTCTGCTTAGACATCCTGATAGTCAAATGCCAATTCTCTTATACGTTACTTGCTGCTTTTAAAGTTTTCTCTGTCTTCGAGTTCTAACAGTTTGAATATAATGTGTCATGTAGATGACCTACTTGGATTGAATATTTTGGGGACTTTTGAGTTGAAAACATCTGGATGTTCATAACTCCCAGGACTTGGAAGTTTTCAGCAATTACTTCACTAAATAAGTTTTTGTCTCATTCTCTCTCCCTCTTAAACTGTCACACAGTTCCTATAATGGTATCCCGTAAAGTCTTGTATGCTGACTACTGTTTCTGCAAGACAGGCAGCAGAACCACTGAGCTAAATCCCCAGCCCCCTGACTACTGTTTCTGATGGAGCTATTTCAAGTAATTCTTTCCTGACCTTATTGGTCATGAAAACTCTCAAATTATATTTTTCACTGATTGAACTTTTCAACATCAATATTTGCTTGGTTCTCTTCTTGATAGCTCTTTTTTGAATTTCTCATTCAGATCATAAAGTGATTTTCAATTAACTGTCTATTGGTAGTCTTTTGTATCATTGTTTTAAGATCATTATTTTCAACTCCTTTTTTGGGTAATTCATAAATTTCCATTTCTTTGCAATCAGCTACAGAAGAAATGAGCTCTTTTGGTATTTGCTTTTCCACATTTCTTATATTTCTGTTTATGTGTATATATCAAGCAATGCAGTCACTTTTCCAAACTTTAGAGTGGCTAATGTTGGGAAGAATTTACCTACAGATGGGCCTGACATTACCAACAACGCAGGATGTGATGGCTCTGGTTCCATGTGGGAGCAGTAGTACAGTGTCTGCACTTCTTCCAATGTAAGCAGCCATGATTCTAGGTGTCTCAGGAGTAGGGAAAGTTTCATTAACGAATCTCTTGTTCTAGTCTTCCTCATAGTACGGAATCTTGGCTGAAGGAATGTCTCTTTGTGCTGCATTTAACCATCTCATAGGTAACTACAGTGGCATTGGAATCCAGCTCACAAGTGTTTGGAGTGTCCATGGAGTCAGGTTCCTGAGCTTACAGTACTGTGAAACTACTGTGACACTGTAAGTCGGGAGTCCTTTGACTCCCAATAAGCCAGAGTTCATTTCTCACTCTGGCAACTCAGGTATAAGGGTTTGGTATACATTCTTGATTCTGACCTGAGTTGCAGGACACAACACTGGTGATGTGGGAGGCTGGCAGCATTCAAACAAGGCTCTGATTCCTTGGGGTGCTAAGGCATTATTTCTGCATGGCTACATGAGTCACTGGAGTATATGGGTCCTCAGGTGTAGGGTTGCCACATTTGTACTGGAATGTGCAAATGCTCTTCTCTTGTGTCCCAGAGGCTTGGAGCTCCTGTGGGCTGATTCACTTGTGGTAAATGGGAAGATTAATGAAATATGCAGTAGCCTATGATCATACCATCACTCTGGGGCTGGAGGCATCATTAGGGATACTGGCCTGTAATTTTTTTCTTGTAATATTCTTGTCTGGCTTCGATATCAGGGTAATGCTGGCTTTACAAAATAAGTTTTGAACTGTTGTTGCTCTCTTTTCAATTTTTTTGAAAGAGAAAAATTAGTATTTTCTTTTGCTTGTAAACTGTGCTTTAATTTCTGCAGATACAATAGTGTGCCTACAAGTATAAGCTTTCACTGTGTATCCAGAAAATACATCTATGTAGATACAGCCCAAAAGCTTATTTCTTGAAAAAAATTGAATTTAATTAAAACCAGTTTATCTTCAGTGTAAAAACTTCGGGAGCTATACAGTTCTTTAAAAGTTTGGTAGAACTCTGCAGTGAAACCACTATGCTCTGGGCTTTTCTTTGATGAAAGACCTTCTATTACTGATTCAATCATGCTACTTGTTATAGGTCACTGAAGATTCTCTGTTTATTCATGTTTCAGTCTTGGTAGGATGTATGAGTCTAGGAATTATCCATTTCCTCTAGGTTATCTAATTTGTTGCTATATAACTGTATTAGTCTCATATAATCCTTTGTATTTTTGTAGTAACTATTCAAAGTCTCCTCTTGATGGTTTAAGTCTGTTCTCCTTTTTCTTAGTGTAATTAAATATGTGTAGATTTTTTTCCTCCAAAACAAAAACAATCAGCTTTGTTGATCTTTCCTGTTTTTTTTTTAGCCTCTATTTCATTTATTTCACGTCTGATCTTTATTATTTCCTTCTACTAACTTCAATCTTAAGCTATTCCTCGTCTAGTTCCTTGAAGTGCAACATTAGCTTGTTTAATTTAGAGCTTTAATTTTTCACGAGACATTTATTGCTATGGTTTTCCCTTTTAGAACAGGTCTTGGTGTATACCAAAAGTTTTGTGTTTTGGGATTCCACTGTGTTGCTCTCAAGATACAGTTATTTTTAAGTTCCCTTTTAAATTTCTTCTTTTATCTCTGGTCATTCAGGATAATTTTTTTTTAATTTCCACACATTTGTAAATTTCACAAAACTATTAAACTTTTACTGAGCTGTGCAGTACTTCACTTCATCATCTCTTAAAGTTTACCATCAAGAAACAGTCCTCAACATGGAGATAAAATTTTGCCAGCAATTTCTCAGAGAAGTAATATCTTGAACATATTAACTCAAAAAAGGCCTATTTTTTAAAAAACTAACTTCAGATAGCCACATGAATAGGCAAGCACTGAAGCCCTTAAATTTCAAAGTCCATTACTGGGGGAGTAAAGGCTGAGAGACCTCCTGCTTCCTACAACCAGTGGTACCATTAGAAATCAGTTTTATGTTTCTTACACATCTTTTCTAAAATATTCTAAGGATATACAAGGCAGCATTTACCGCTTCACCTCAGTCCCACATGTGTGTGCCACTTACTGTTTTTCTTCACTTAGCAATACACCTTGAATAACATTTCTAAAAGCTTATACAAATATTTTTAATAGCTTTTAATACATGTTTAGATTATTCAACTTACTTTAGAAATAACTTATTTCAACTTATTTTAGAAATAATTCTGCAATAAATATCTTTAAAATTTGTCCATGTATATATTTTATCCATGTATATACCTAGGTTATTTGCTTAGGAGAGTTAAAAAAATTAAATGGAGTATACATTTAACATTTTGAAAGAGGAGTGTCAATTTGCTCTCCAATACAAAATTATACAGATTTATTCTCTGATGCATTTTCTTTTTGAACTAGCATGTGTTGTTTGTATGAAATGCAATTCTGAGGGAAAGTGTAACTTTTGAAACACCAAAGAGCATATTAATCCAAAGAAAAACTCTGTATCAATCAAGGCTTTTACTTTGTTAACTATCATAATTCAGATTATTGGCTTTGAAGACCTATAGATATGGATTCCAGCTCTGCCATGTAAGATTTGTGTGATTTTAAGCATGTTATTAATCATTTTAAGCCTTCATGTGTCTTTTTTTTCTCAAAATGCATAATAGTGCCTACTTGATAGTTACGAGTTGGTATATACATATACGTTGAAGAGCCTGATTAGAGCATGTGTTTGATAGTTCAACACTGTATGACCTAAATGAGCAACAAACAAAAACATGTACTTTCATAAAACCATTTGAAGCTGGACATGGTGGTGTTCAATTGTAATCCCAGTATTCTGGAAGTCCAAAGCAGAATGAGTGCAAGTCTAAACCTAGCCTGGGCTACTTAAGCAACTTGTCTCAAAAAATTAAAAAAGGGATGTGGATTTAGCTTATTGCAAAGGCCCTGGATTTAATCACCAGCACTACAAACAAAAGTAAATAGTATGAACACTGAAAATCCCCACCAATAAACTAATTTTAATTTTTGGAGTCAATTCCTAAGAATATAAAATCACTAGAACCCTTCACAACCGTGTGTTAATGGGCAGAAATTTGTATGGGCTATCACTCAAATGTCACAGAACCTTACAAAATAAAAGTATGAATTTAATAATAAGGAGATTTAGCTTAAGTTGATCAGAATGGATGTTATCATGTACTTCTCTATAATCAAAAGAAGTTCTAAGAACATTTTAATAATGAATGGTAGATTACAAATGATTACTGGGAATGGCTACAAAAAGCAAGCATAATACTTCAAGGATTTCCTTAAATACATTCTAAGTGCCAAGATTTCCTAGAGGTATGATCACTTTCAATCTCCTGTATAGAAAGGAAACTAACGTGTTCAATTTCAAACATCAAAAAACATTTAAAATAGAAACTGCAAAATTTTACCTGCCGTTTAAAGGTCAAATTTATTAGAGATGCATACATAGACTATAAATACTGCACAGATGACTTTATTCACGGTCAAGCAGAGACATAGCCACTGCCAACCTATTTTGTGGATACTCTTGTTCTTTTGTTCCAAGAAAAATTTGCACCATAAGACTTGGACTTAGGTTTCGGAACTTTCCTCTCTTCAATGTCATAGCTCCATCCTAGAGAGAAACACAAGAAACAGAAAGGAGCAGAATTAGGATACCTGAAGAAAGATAGTAAACAGAAGCTAACTTTTATAATTTAATGTTCATTCAACACCAAGAGTACATACCAACATATCTAAAATATAAATAACTTAGAAACTGGTTCTTTTATACAGTAACCCTATGTGGCCAGAGGATCCAAGTGTTGTCTAAAAATGATTTATCATATCTTCCATTAAAGGTGTAGCTGATTATTTCATTTCTCCTTGATCAATATTCTTTGCTCAATTAGTGATGGTTATAGATTGTTTAGATTTCTCTACATGGTTTAACATGTGACTTCTTTAATAACTATGATGTGGAACACTGAACAATGTATCTCATCTCAGTGTTTAAAATCTGGTGTCTTTACAACAGATTGGAACTCATCCAAAATGACAGAAGAAAATGTGTTGTGGGTGTGGATGGATAGACTGATTGATAGATCAGAGTTTGACTGGACCATAAGAGATCACCTGGTTCAGCCCTCCTACTGACTAAGTTTTTAACCTTTGTTTCAAGGGCTGTCTACATTAGTTAGAATCACATGGAATTGCCTGATGACAATGCAGCTGCTTGGGCCTGACTACTGACCAACTGGATCAGAATCTCTGGTGGGGGCCTGAGAAGCTGCCCTTTATCTCTCAATTCTATGTATAGAAAATTGAGAACCACTGATCAAAACTGTCTATTCTTTTGGAGAGTTTATCTCTTTCCTCCAAAGCCCATTTTAGTGTTTTAAAATCTTGAAAACTCTCTTAAGATAAAAGGAACAGCTAAATCAATACTCTCCTCCTCGAAAATATAATTAAATTACCCTTCTTTTCTTTAGGCCAACCAACTGCAGTAATTTCCTTTTCTTTCTAAGATTCATTTTCCCATCCCTATAATTTATCATCATTCTCTCTCAGGACTTTCTTCAAATAACTCATCTTAAAACATCTGATTTCTGGTATTCATGTACAAAATGTCCAACCTGAATGTTAACATAGTCTAAATTAAGTGAGCTTCCTGATCTTACAAGGTCTAAAATATTCTAATGCCTCTTAGTGGGTATAATACTTGCTGCCACAAAGTTTGCCTCAATTACCCCTTAGCTGAAATTCAATTTTGCCACAAAAGACAGACCTAGTGAAACTTGAGTCATTAAAGAATACTAAGTACTATGACTGTTCAATGAAGAAAAATAAGCCAGGCATGGTGATAATCCAACTACTCTGGAGGCTGAGGGAGAAGGGTTGCCAAATATGAGACCACTTTGGGAAACTTGGTGAGACCCTGTTTCAACAAAAGTATTTTTTTTTAAAGGGCTGAAAAAATAACTCAGCGGTGGAGTGCTTGCCCTTAACTAGGCAAAACTCTGGGTTCAAACCCCAGTACCGCAAACAAGGGAAGATAACATTTAACACAATACTTCAAATTAATCTTTTAAACTAATGTATTCAATATAGAACATTACATTCCCATTGTCAGACCTCCTTTCATCTTCAAAGAAACAGTTATAGGGAATGGGGAAGCAAGAAGGCAAATTAAACATCAGAATATAAAAGAAAATATATATGAGTAAACCAAGGGTCAAAGAGGTTGATTAGTACAAGGTCATTCAGTCAGGGAGGGTCATAATCAAGATTTCAAAAGGTAGCCTGATTCTGAAGCCTATACCTTAACTATTGTGCTATATTATCTCTTGTGATCTATAAATAGTTAAGCTATTTTCCATAAAACTTGATAACTTCCTAGCAACACATTATACATAAAGTACAGATGCAAATAAATTCCCATCATACTGAAGCCCATTAAATTTGACTTTGCAATGGATTGGAGGTCCTCCTGCCTCAGCTTCTCTGTAAGTGATGGAATTACAAGTTTGCACCACCATGCCTGGCCCAAACTTTTCTTTTTTTTTTCCCTCTTCTCAATGAGTTTATTGGTACTCTTTAGGTATACAGCAGTTACATTCATCATTGGGATCTTGTACCTTTACACAACACAAACTTCTTAAAGTGAGGAGAAATTATTAAGTGCACAGTAACAATACAGGTGCCAAAACAGTAATAATGTACAGTGCCTAACAGAGTAATAATGTACAGTACCTAAATTAAAATATATATGCTAATGAGTATCAAAGAAAAAACATTTTGGACAAGGTAGACAAGGAAACCCTTTGTCCCTGAGCAGGTCATGTTTAAGTAAAGATCTGGAGGTCATTTTGGAAAAGAGCTTCCAGGCAGAGAAATCCAATTATAAGGCCTTAAGGCAAGAACATACCTGGTGTACAGTGTTCTAGATTTTAGGCCCTGTATTTGCAACATTATTTTTATGGAGGTATTTTTCTTTGAGTTTATAGACTGTAAGATAGGCATCATATGTACATAATTTTATTTTGATTATAAGGAAAAATGAAACAGAGAGGGAAAATAATGCACAGAGCTAAAAATGCCAAAGAAAGGCTGGCTTTTAACCCAGGCTGACTTCAAAGCTATCCATCTAACTACCTTATAATTAAAACTGAATTTCTTTAAAAATACCTCATAATTACATTTTTTAATTTCCCCATTTCCCTTCAATCTGTGCAACTGGTAAATCTTTTCCATTTTATTTTCAAAAACTATTTAAAAAAGATTCTTAAGTCCCCTACCTCCAATTGTGGCTATATTTGGTCATAATGGTCACTGGTAAGTTACTCAAGATCTCCATAATATTTTCTTGCCAAATAATGGGTAAGAGAGCATATGTCTCCTCTCCTTCCACTGCCTCCCAATATACTTTCCGACTCAATAAAGATATGAGAGAAACTACAGGAGAAATGAGAATGTATTTGAAAATACTTAGGAAATAATTACAAAAAAGCCCCAGTAGATTCTTTATACTACATCAGAAAACGAAGATATAACTTACTCTGTTAATGGTTTCAAAGTGCTATGAGACAGTGCAATGTGAGAGGACGACTGCTGTTTCATACACATAAGGAATGACTAATTTGGGTTTCTCCTGGGAATTATGAGCCAGATTATAGTTGTTGATGGGGATAACAATAAACAAAGTAGTACGATATGGATTACAATGTGTGGGCAAAGCACTCTAGGAAAAACAAAAATACACCATTTGGAATAAAACCTCTATTTGCTAAAATAGAGGTATTATTACAGAGGTATTATTACTCCGCTGGAACCACCCAGGATTGTCAGGAAGTTTTCTGTGGAAAACAACTTTGTTCCCCAAGCTGAGCAAAAGCAACTGTGCTTTGCTTTAGTAAAATTAAAGAAGGGTATAAGGAAGTTTGGTACTAATTCTGAGTAGGGACCAAAACTAAAATAAGAGTATATAACTCTGGATTTTGTATTCTTATTCAGAAAACGGATCTATTATGCATAGCTGTTATTATAATAACATTTGCTCCTTTGGGAGATACTGTTAAGAATCTTATCACATTTCTAAGTATTATACCTTACCTCCAAAGTGTTATTACCTTACAATGCTAGGAAGAGCAAATTTATTCATCTCATTATATTTGAATATAAAGGTAACTAGAGTAAGCAGTGAACTTTAGCTAAAAAGAGAATAACAGAAAAATAACACTTGAAAATCTATTAAATATGTACTTAATGTTAAGTAAAAGTTTAAGAATTAACTCATCATTTCTATGTCCCATTTGAAATTTGTTTCTAAATAACCCTACTTGTGTTTCTGAATGATACTGTGGGAGTGAAAACCCTAGTACTCTCTGAAGAATGCTTATTATATGAAATGAAGGTGTAGTTTATGACAATGATTCCATATATTGCCTTGTTAGGACACTCAAAACCAGCCCTTGCTCTTCCCAGCTGAGCAACAGAAGATCAAAGCAACTAAATCCCAGGGCTGCCATCACTTCCACCTGAGGAGAGCAGCCAGATGGCATGGATTAGTCACAAATCCAACCACCAGCACCTACATGATGAGAAGCTGACTTCTTCTGCCATTTCACACATGGAAATGCTTTCACTACAATATTTTGAACTTTAAGCCCTAATGTATTAGGTAAATGTTCTAGTAAACGTAAGGTGTGATCTTTAATATCCAATGCCCAATTTCTTTTTTGAAGAAACATTCCAGTTTATTTTGTAGATCTCTACATTGTAATTAGAATATTCTACTTTCTAGGATATGACTAGTAGGTGAAATCTATGTTTAAATGCCCCCCCACTCAAAAAAAGAAAGCCCCTGAACAAAACCAGATCACAGTAACTTTTAAATTCAAATTCCATGTATGAAAGAAAAAAAATGAATTCCATTCATTCTTATTTATAGAACCCTTTCATTTATGATTTAGCAATGGAAAAAATCAGTTCTTCTATTACTTGTGAAATGTCTTACCTTTAGTTACCTGATGGATTTTATCTTATGAAAGTAGTCACTACCGTGTTTATAAAAAGCATTTCTCCTTGAATAATATCACAAACCTAGACATTAGTACCAAAGTGAACAATTTAATAATTTTTGGAAAATAAGGACTACCACACAATTTGGCACAAACTTACATAATTCACTGCTAACCAACACATGGATCAGAACAGCAAAGCTTTGGGAGGCTAAAGGGTTATATAGTGGTACCTGGAAAGTTTAATTCTTTACCAAGATATGTGCTGACATACTTGACTGAAAGCAAAACATAAACCTAACATATAACCAGTAGAGAAGGAAGAAAAGTAACATTTCAGAAACTTCACTTTAAAAGTTCCTCTACTTTGAAATTAGCAAGAATCTAATGTGGGGTTAGGGGAAGAGAAGGTTTGGAATAATTTAAAAGAATCTTAGATCTTCTTTTAGAAAATATAGAGGGGATACAAGATTTTGGATACACTGGCAAAGCAATTCTTTTCATGAAAACTATTTTAACAAGCACATAAGCCAATATGAGGCACCTGAAATATTACATTATTAATGCCCTACAATACTTGCTACCATTGTGATACCTCTAAAAAAACAAAACAAAG